GTGAAATACTAATGCAAAGATGTGCAGAGTTACAACTAGTCAGAAAGCTCAGGCAAGAAAGAAGGAAAAACCACTTTGAGTTTTGCAGATGTTTGGGTACATGCATTTCTACTTTTATACTGAGGGAAGACCTACTCTTTTTTGAATTAGTGACTTGTTAATTTTTGGATTTTTGGATTTAGTTGAATGTAGTTATTTGAACTTGACTCTTCAAGGGTGATACTTGAAAAATTACAAGATCATTTACATTTCTTTTCCTAAAATGTTTTGAAGATTTGCTTTGGTGAAAACGTAATTAATAAGCTTTTTTCCCCTCCAGTGTGTTCATCCCAAGAGGAGATGTTGCAGGTCCCCACCGTACACCCTACATGACATGGGAGGGAGGTCACCCTTCTTTGTGGTGGTCCCTACAATACGGGACTGCTTACCTGAGTTTTGGGGTCTTTCAACCAACTCACTTTTTACAGAGCTGTTAAGGCTGTTTTGTTCCATCAGCATTTGTGCACAAATGGTGCTGATAGATTGCCTTTTGATATGAGTTATTTCTATTAGATTATGCAGTATCTTTTTATTTATGGGATTTTCATGTGATAGGGTATTGTCTTTTTTTTGTTTTTTGTTTTGGTATGGTGGATGTGTTCTTGCCATTGTAAACTTTTTATCTAGAGTCTTTCAAGTGAGTGTTATATACATAGCTGCACTGTACAGATAGAGAAATATACCAATGCTTGCCAACTTTGGGTTGGGTTGAAGTATAGAGATTCACATCTGTCTATGAAATATGTGCATATAAGACAGATGTGCACACAGGTGAAACTGAGAAACAGTATGGGCCACCTGGGGGGGTATTTTTTGTTTAATGTCAGGTCTAGAAACTCTGTGTATGAAAAAACAACAACAACTGGTAGCACATTATTTATTTATCTCCAGGGTAGCAAGGTATCCTAAGCATTGGAATCCATGAGGGGGAATAAAAAAAAACATGATGGGCATTGTGGCAGTGCATTCGAAGCCTTACTCGGCTTGCATGTGTATCAACATTGAATACATGTACAAAAGGGCAGGACTTTGATCTGGCTACTATGACTACTATCATGAATTTTTTTGATCCCAAGTGACACTTTTGGGAGTAAGGGACGAAATGGGCATTGCAAAGTTGTGATGCAAATTCCACTTCTTATGCTGGTATGTAACATCATAATGCAGGTATGAAAAAGCAGAGGTGTGTTGTCACATATAACACACGTTTCATCATTTTGACAACATCATGGCTGGCTGTGGACATTTATGACCTGTTGTTCAGGGTGGAAGCAATATTTGGCATGCAAATAGTCCCAATTTCAGCATTTAGCACAGTTTTTCCCAGTTTGTCATCTTTTGGCTGTGTTAGACTATCTTCAGGATACTGATAAAACCCTATTACATTTTATGGAGATGTCAAATATGTGTTAGGACTGTCCACTACTCAACTGACAACCTGATCTACTTCTCATAACACAAGGACATGCAATCTCATGCTGATGGTCCATTCTGTGTGCAGAAAAGACTAAAAACAGCAAACAGGATTGCTGTGAACAGGACGGTTGATCTGGGTTTCCTCCCTTATAAAAGACCTTACCAACAATTTGATTGTCCTGGGAAAATCAAAAGCCTGTGTCCAGCCTTACTATGAAGTGACTGCTGCAATCCTTAAGAGATTAGGAAGGATTAGTCAATAATCAGAAATTCTTTTAGGCACCTTGTAAATTAACAGCTCTGCCTCTTAGCTGTGGGGATAATTATAGCAAGATACTACTTATAATAAACCAGCTTGGCTTTGTGTATCAGAAAAGCAAATGCAGGCAAGTATCCATGTCTGTCAATTACTTTTGGAATATATTCCAAAAGTATTTTGGAGACTTTTCAAAAGTAAAGTTGAGTTGGGTGTGTTGGTTACTCCTTGCCAGTAGGGAGACTGAGGATACTTTCTGATGACCAGCTGGATGGCCATCTCCCAACCAAATTTGATCCAGACAATCAAGGTCTTAATTTACTTCAGATATCTGAGCATGAGAGAAGCTGCTATACAGGGTGAGACAAGAGATATGAACAGTGCTGGCCAAGTCAAGGGGGCAGGATATCCTCTGCCTATGGAGGGATAAGATGCCCTCCCTGCCCTCAAGGAAAGATTGCAGAGAGAGAAACAGAAGGGTAGAGACACGCTCTGTCTTCAGTCTCCCCCTTTCTCCTGCAAGTCTTTGATCTCCAGGCTGTTTTGCAGCTCTCTGGGATGTTCTCAGGGACAACTTTCACACGTCTTTCTCCCCTCCCATTTGCAGCCTTGAAATGACATTTCACTCTTCATGGAAACAACTGAGTGAGATCAGAATGGCTTATGATGCCAGTCCTAGTTACCCTGTCTTTTGATCCCTAGGGGGCTCATCTTGTTTCAAAACTAGAACTTTACCTTTGTCAAGTAAAGCTCTAAAAAGCAAACAAGAAAGAGAGCTTTGCTGGGACAAGGTTTCCCAGGGTGGCGTGTACAGTCCCTGCAGTCTTTGGTGTCCATCTATTTGCAGATCTGTTCAGAAAGTTGGAAGCAATGTGGCTGCCTTTGTGTATTATCAGACTACCAGATGATGCCAAGGGCTAACTCAAGCTAGATCTTGGGTCAGAAGTCCAGGATGCGAAAAGATCACAAAGAGGGTCACCGGCCATCAGAGCAACAAGCACTGGGTTGACTTGAAGGTGCCAAAGACCACCAGCAATCAGGTTCCTCTTCATAGCATTTTTCTTCTACTTTTTAAAGACTTTAAAAATACTTTTTAGATAATTTCATTGACTTTGTGATCATGACTAATATAGTAAACAAATATGATAATTATATGATATTATTATACATTATTATGTAATTATAGGCTAAATAATTATACTTATAAGACAAAGGTGATAAGCAATATGGATGATAAATATGGTAATATGGCATAAGGCCGTAAAGTCCAAGGCCCCCAAATAGGACCAAACAGATGAATGTTTATTCAAGATAGGAAAATAAATGGAATCGATTTTAAAATGTGCAAATGCTGATAAAAGGTAGTGGGTCTGCTGTGAAGCAGGGGTGTCTGTTAGGGTGGTCAAAAAAGTCAAGATGGTGGCCGTGATCACGTGATTACATGCGTTGCACATGCAGTGCACATCAAAAGGGACAAGGATTCTATCACACGGCCACCAACTTTACTTTATTACCTCTCCTGCAAACACCCCTGTTTGAGGAATGAAAGTTTGTTGAATTACGTGAAAATGGCTGTGTATAGTAAGGGAGTACCACTTCCCATATTTATGTTGTCTTATTTAATGTACTGAATCCATCTTCTAGCCAGTGTTTGAGGCAAATTAACAATAAGATAAAATACAACCATTTAGCAAAAATAGAAATGAAACCAATGATATTTTAAAATACATGTACCCTATAAGAAATAAAGTCCATTCAGGTAAAAGTTTTATGGAGAATTACATTTTTAAAAAGTATGTTAAGAGATCCTGCCTGTAACACCAATTGAACTGTGACCATCCAGGAACTCTGAGTGACCAACATCTGTTTCAGAAAGAGGCAGACAGATGTTCTGGATGGCCACATGCCAGACTTTTACCTGCCAGAGCACCTCAGCCACTTAACTTTTGTATATTGTAATTTTTTTACAGCAAGCTATAATTTTTTTTTACAGCAAAAAGCAAACTGCTAGACTTTGCCACCATCATTTTTACTGATTCATAAAAGCCCCTGTAAATATTTTCAAAACATTAAAATGGTGAATTGTTGCAATTCAGCTTTGTTCAACCTTAAGCAAAGGTAAACTGGACCTAGGAGAATGAAGTGAATCTAGGAAGGTAGCAAGGTTATATTCTACTAAATGAATGTTTTATAACTGGCTGCATCCACCAGGTCAGCCATTTTTGTGAGAGCACCCAAGACATCTTTCAAAATTCCACTGATGTCCATCAGTCTAAAATGTTGCATATTTTTATCAATTTCATATATAACATTTCCTGCCCTTAACAAAACAGAATTTATTTGTAAATTCAATTTTTCCAACTGCACACTTGTAAATGACTCTGGGTGGCTTTACATGGATTAAAACGACAATACTGTATAAGCTATTTAAAATAACACAGAGACTGACATCCTGGGGGGGAAAACAGACACACAACAATTAATACGGTTATGTATGGGTAGCAAAATCCCTTCTCAAGGAGGATCCTGTAGAAAGGAATCTAGAAAATTTACCAGGGAGCTGAAAGTATAAGTATTTATGCTTTTTTTTTTTTAATGGGGGGGGAACAATTGTAGATGCAGCTGCAAATATACAAGTTGCTGGGAGTGAATCCTATAGAATTTAGGTATAAGGATTTTTAACAAGTGTGAAGAAAGTCTATATAATCAGCTAATCTGTTCACTAGTAGAAGAAAAACATTTTTGATTACAGTAATTTTCACTGTCCATTCCTTCTAATTTTCATTTTGTTCACTTTCACTGGTTTTAGTTCCTAGCCATGGCTGTGTGTGTCTCTCTGTGTGTGTACACACACACTTAACTCAGACCAATGGTTCTTGCACCTTATAAAGTAAAATGCAATCTTTGGATGCTTGTGGTAGAATAATTTGTTCATCATTATCATACTTGATTAGTTGCATCAGAGTAACACAAGTACTGTCTGGATATTGTCTTGATGCTTGAGATGCTAGATATTAGTGCAAAGTATTTAAAAATGGTAATACACAAAGCAAGCGCGTGAGCAAAGGGGGACAGGTATGGATAATAATAATCTGCAATATTGGAATCCCATTATCGCCATCATGACTTCTCCCAATGGTTGCTTTTATGTTATTTGGGGGGGGGGAACCACCACATCTCATAAAGAGGGAGGGAGTGATGAATACGCAGCAGCACCCATTGTTGCTGTTCTCCCACTAGTCATCCACTTCTATGGACATTTGTACCTAGATCTTGTGAAATGTCTTTACTACATTACAGAACACTTCTGTTCAGCTGCCTGCTTAATATCAGTGAAAGTAGCTTGAACTTTTTCTTTGATAGCATCCATGTCCATATTCTGGAGGTTCTGAAGCTGTCCAAAAATAGTATCTTTGTCTTCTTCCTCTTCCTGATCCTCTACTACCATCTTCTGGAGGTCTTCTGGCAAGTCCACCTCATCTCCACCCAGTTGGATCTGAGTCTCATCCAATTCACTCTGAGAAAGGAAGTGGCGAAAAGCAAAGTAAAACAAGAACTCATAAATATGGATAGGAAGTGTGTAGCTCCCATGCTAAATACAATTTTTAAAATAATACCTGTGTCAAAATTCTAAGACAAGGAAAAGTAAATTCTGTAGGCCAAAATAAGACATTTCAGATTGGTGAACTGTTCTTGAAGCAGCAGTTGTTTGCAAACTTACCTAGGAGTTCTATTGTATTTAACAGTTCTTGTGTCTTAATGAGCACGCATAGAAGATAATATTGCATGTGAATTTGTGTGGGCCCTCTTAAAAACCTAAAGTATGCATTCAATTAAAGGCAAAGGCATTGCTGAATGCTGAAGTTTAGCAATCAGTGTATTTCTGTAGATTCTCCAGATTCTGAAATGTGATGTTGCAAACAAGAAAATGTACAGGAATGCATATAGTAGAAAAAAGTGAAACAAAACTGATACATTGGTGAACGAGCATGCAAACATGTTTTTATGTAAGTAAAATGTTTTGTAAAAAACTATATTAGGGACATTTATTTATTTATTTATTCTATTTTATACGGCCACCCATCTCATGAATGGGACTCTAGAGAACTAACAACATGTTAAAACAAAAACAATATTAGCTAAGAATAAAAAACCAACAACAGTCACCAAAAATAAACCCAACTAAACCATTGACAGAGAACTCTCAATGGGCCATCTAACCTCCTGGCCCCCCAAACCCTGAAGCATATCCAGGTCTTCAACACTTTACGAAAGGCCAGCAAGGTTGGGGCCAATCTGATTTTGGGGGGGGCATATGCTGTTCCAGATGGTGCTTTTACAAGAAAAGTGCATAAAAGTACTATGTATTTTCATGCATTTTTTACAATTGCAAAGGGTTATAGAAATAGTAATGGAATAAACCTGAGTTTGAGAAAAAAAGAAACCGGGCAAGATCGAATTTAAAATGAGAGATTTCAAGAGTGGAGACTTGATGGAGAATAATCTCCGTCTCTCTAGGAGAATAATCCAGAATATGTAGTTCCTTTCATAGACTACACCAGGACCAGCACTGCAGTGGTTCTTCTTATGATTACAGGAACACTGATTATGTTAAAACATAGATTAGTTCTGCCCAGCCATGCATAAAATCCAGGGGAAAACCAGGGGAAATATAACGTATTTGCTCATGAAAAGTCTGCGCAGAGATGGAGGAATTCAGTTTTAAAAGGACAGTGTAACATGGCAACTAATCAAACTTCCAGCTCCCCAGTTTTTAAATTAGACACATCTTGAGTCCCTTTTTCTGACACCTCTCGTTCAGTCCAATACTCTCCTGTAACAGTCCAAAACTGTTTCCACTACATCATATCACCAGACAGCACAATTCTTGGTTATGGACAGATAAAATTCTATAGAAATGTAAAATGTGGAAATGAAAGTGTTCTCTTAAAGTTACCAAGGCAACCTTCCATTTTATTTGATACACGTACTCACTTGCAGCATGTAAAAGGCATTACTGTTCATAAAAAGGTAATGACTCCCTTGAGTTGAGCTGAACGTCCTGAGACTAAATGGATATCTAAATGCATTTTTACTTGCAGCAACAGAGGAGTGGTTTGACACAACCTGTGTGTCTTTGCAGTTATTTCAGAGGAGAAATTGCAAAAAATCCAATAACCTTTCTAGTCTAGCCTTCTCACCACCCTAACAATGATGGTCACCAATATGGTTGGAAGGGGGAGGAGAAATGTCAGGATTCCAGCTTGGACCCATTGAATCAGTCAGGTGGACGTCAAACTTGAAAACCCACCTCCTTAGATGACTCATCTTTGGAGAGAACTCATGTATGGAGATAATGATAGCAGGTGGGTCCTCATCTTTGGAGAGGAGGATGAGATTGAAGAAGAATCCAAAGGAATCTCGTTGCCTTCATCAACTGACTAGGATAGTCCAAAGGTGGAGAGATGCAGACACACACATTTTCAAGAAAGAATCCTGGAGGTGAAGGTCCACTTAGAAGTCAGAACTGCTTCTCCATTGGCCTGCATTCTGGTTATAGCTGCTATAAACTTGCTGTGGCGCAGAGGAGGCTTGTAGCCTCTTAGATAAAGCTCACCACTGGAACCTAGTCCAGTGGTGGGAACAACATCTTCACTGTGAGAGTCTCTGCTTCAAAACCTAAGAAGGAATTATGGGACTCTAATCTAATTTGTGCCTTGGCCTAGCTCTTTAATTAAATCTTGGGCACTTGGAATTTACACTGCTGTTTTTACTGATTGTCTGCTAAGCAACTTTTCTGGTCCATCTCTTGAGTAGGTTTGGTTACAGAAAAGACTTACATTAGTATGTCTCACTTATCTTCCCCACACAGTAGCTTCTTTGCAAGAAAGGATACCCCCTTCCCCAATGTTTTGCCCATGAGGTTTTATAAAGCCTTTTTTTTTTTTTTTGGTCCACAATAGCAAAGGCAGCTACTAATATCACCTGATAGATTTTTTTCAGATGAACTTCATGGTTATGCAAAAAAATGTAAAGTAGCCTTTACCAATGTATTACTACAGTTTTCATGTGCTAGACTGCAACTGCAATGATATACACAGAACATGATTCTGGACTACATCAATTTCCAGGTAGCTGGTCTAATGGCTGGGATGGGTGTTATGGGGTCTGTTACCATTTGCTGGGCACCAAATTGGGAAAAGTGGTATCAAGGTTATAGCTTTTCTTCTGTTTGAAGTGAATGTGAAAGCCAGCTGTTCCAAGCAAGCTATGTTATAAATTGGGGTCACCTACACTGCCTTCCCTAAAATGCTGTCCTAGAGATGTGTTGGACCATACTTCCCACCAACCCCAGCTGTATCTGGAGAATTGGGGAGGGGGGAATTACTCATAGGGACCTCTAAGAAATTGCAAGATTCCTCTGAAAGCAGCTGACATCTTCCTTTGTATCTTCAGACTGTGGTTTGCAAATATATGCTAGAAAGAAACAACTAGTTAAGGAGCTGCTCAAGCTATTCTGCTCTTGAAGGACATCTCTTTTCATGCAGTGAGCACTCATTCTCTTTCTCTCTCTCTCTCTTTGACCTACTTTATTCAGATCCACAGTTGCTAACTCTTGTTAGTTTTCAGCTGCTCTTGGTTTTGGAGATGTAGTGATGTCTGAACTTCCCCCACCCAATCTATACCTACAAAGATGATCACAGTTCAAAACAGTGACCCCAAACAATATGTTACTGTTTGGAAAATGGACTAGTTCCATCAACAGCTGAGGCCTATAGAATCAGCAAGTCTTATGGCTATATTTTTAGTTGTTAGTTCATGAACATATTGCTACAATGCACTGGATTGGGCGGCATGACACCCTAATATAATTTGTGTAGCATCTGTGCTAGTGAGAGAAAGCTATGATTATTCCAAACATTCAAATGAAAATTTCCGTTTTGGGGGGCGAGCTTTTGAATTTTTGTTTATATATCACCTATTTAGATGGTGCAGATGCAGTTACTTTAAGCCAGTGTTTTCCCATTTGGGCAACATCCAAATGTGTGGACTTCAACTCCCACAATTCTCAGCAATGGCCATACTGGCTGGAGAATTCTAGGAGTCTAAGTTTACACATCTGGACATTGCCCAGGTCAGGAAAATGGCTTTAACAAGTCTTCCCTCCCTTAATACCCTCAAGATGTATTGTCTTATTCCCCTAACTTCTAACAGCCAAAGTCCAATCCAACTGGTGGGCACCAGGTTGGGAAAAACAGCTGTTGGGAATCTGATGGTTTGTACTCATTTACTTTGCAGCATTAATCAAATATTTAGAAAACTTAAACATACTGGACTTGACACCCCTAATTTTGCAAAAGAATATCCTACTTGGAACAACATACATTCTACAATGATATCTCCATTACTCTTAGGTCCTTGGATAGGATCTAAATCACAGTTGATCAGAGTGTTATGTTTATTTGGATGAATAGATTAATAGAATAAGATAATAATGACACCCTAAAGCACCTACAAACTAAGTCTAATACAACGTTAGAGAGACTTGGAATTTGTCTGGCAAATAATAAGAATATGAGAAAGGAAGTAGTTAACAGAGTTTTTATATCAGTTATATCTGTCCATATATCAGTTGTTATTACAGGCAATCTTTAATTAATGACTGCAATTGGGACCAGAATTTCCATCACTAAGTGATGCAGTTGTAAAGCATGATGTCATGTGACTGCACTGCTTAGCAACAGAAATTCGGGCATTTCCGGTTGCCATCATTAAGTGAATCACTGCGGGTCATTAAGCGAGGAAGTCATGTGGTCGTCGTTTGCAACATCCTGCTCGCTTCCCCATGGACTTTGCTTGTAGGAAGCTGGCAAAGAAGGTTGCAAATGGTGATCACATGACCACGGGGATGCTGCGATTGACGTAAGTACGAGGACTGGTCTGAATCAAGAAATTGGGTAGCATCCTTAGCTGTCAGTCATGCATCTGACAGTGCTACATTTTCATAAGATGAATCTTCAATAATGCCAATGTCTTGGGCATTTTCTGTTAGTAAGGTAAGTGAAAGGTGCAAATTAGTATCCTTCCATCTATCCATCCATACACACATGGACATGGCTATGGACACAGCCCTTAACTTTAAACAAGATTTTTTGTGTAAAATGGGAAATCTATTCTTCACCATTAGGTGGCATTGTGGGTCCTAAACCATGATCCCTGCATCTTTTTACTTGAGCTCCTGTGATTGACATAAATAGATCCATTAAATGTATTCAGTAAAGAATGAAATCCCATTGGATCCATGTAATGAGTGCAAGATTTTTGTTGGGATACACAGCTCTGAAGAGACTCAGATCAGATGTTCTTATTCCCCTCCTTCCCCCAGCTTCTCAGTAGAAGAAAAAACAAGGACTCTCAAATGTATTTCTGACCCTCTTGTTCTTTGTTATCCAGCTACAATTTCACATTCTAATTCTCCCCAATTTTCTATTTTCCAGTGTTCAATAATGCAAAAATGTTTTCTTCTGTTTTATGCAATTAGACAAGAGGAACAAAATGAGTAGTAAACTAAGAAAAAGGCTGTTTCCATGATTTTCTCTAAACAACCCAGTCCTTCAGTCTCAGTTTTACACATTATTGTAAATAAATCTACTTCCTTCAATGCTAAAATATTTAGGATATGAAAGTACTGAGAATGCTCCCAAAGGCATGTGAAGAGTGTCCCTCTTTGTGACAGAATAACCACAGCTACCAGCCTGTCTGTAACTAAGGACTTCTAGTATAGAATTCAGGACTACGATATCTAGCAATTAAGGCATGTAGTCACGGGGATGGCTGTGAATTTTGGACATAATCCTCTCAGACTTAACCAGATGCACACGTCCAGTGGCAGCATCTCTTCAAAGCTGCTGCATCATCTTTCAGGCATGTGCACTACTCTGGAAAAAGATGCAGCTATTTTAAAGAGGTGCTACATTCCTGCCTGCTACATTTCAGAGCATTTCTTCTGAATCATTTTTGGAGCATGCACAGCTTTATTACATAGCAGATATTTCCTACCTTTCCAATTCAAGGGAAAAAAGCAAATAGATCAACATGGTAACTGTCACTTAGGAACAAACTATAGGATTCATGGATGAAAACATCTTCCCAGTGACAAATCTTTCCTGACAATCCCATTAATAGGATTAATAGGCTCATTAAGGACATGTTTTGTCATATAAGACTGTTCTTAATTCCCTTAAGCTTCATGTCTTGTACCTTTCTATGGCCTCATACTACGGCCTCGTAAGTACCTCTTGAAATATCTGTATGAAATGTTTAACAGGCATCGTTTTAACCACAGCACGCTGTCTCCATTTTTATGAGATAGCAAACTATTCTTATTACATTCTTCCAGGAAATTCAAGATAGAATGATGTGACCAAATCCATTTTATCTCCAGAGAGGCTAGGTTAAGCTGAGGACTAACCTCAGGTACCCCAAGATCTACTCACTATTCATTATGCCTCTTTATACAAACCAGACTGTATGTGTCTTCCATTTAAATCACTCCTTCCTGATTCCTGCATTATTTGCATTAAAGGATTTCAGATTATTTCCTCTTGGGAGAAGTCTATAACTCTCAGAGGCTCAGCAAGGGCTTTGCATGGAAGTTTGGAAACTATTGGATGTTACCTGCCTAATTCCCAAAGAGAGGAAATCACAACAGTTGTAGCCCCAACATATCTGAAGGGCACAAGATTCATATCTGAAGGGCACAAACTAGGGAAGAGATGGTGTAGGTCAAGTAAGGACATACTGGACTTAAGACTGATCAGCAGCTACTCTAATGTTAAGCGTCTACTTCCCGGATACACATGACATAGTAAAATAAAATAATTTTTAGAAAGCTTGTAGGATTGCAAAATCTCAGGCAAGAATGCTGAAACTTCCTAAATTCTCCCTGGATTCTCGGGGGATTTTGGTGGTCTTGCATGAGATGTTAGCAATTTTGTGGGAGGGCCAGATGATGATTCAAGAGTGCTCAATAACACAGAGACGTCAAAAGGGGTTGTAATCCCTGTGTATGTCGAAACCCAAGGGGCAGAATTAAGTTTGCAAACAAAAAGACCTACCATTTTTTTTTCTTCACAGATACATTATTATACAGATCAATAGATGCTTTCTCCCTTGGTACAAGTTCTTTTAAACATTTTCTTCTGGAAGGTGTCTCATTTAAAAAGGGTTTAAAATAATTCTGATAAAACAGTTCACTACAACACTCATATAGAACTTTAAATCCACTTGCATATAGAAATGGACTAAGAAAAATGGAAATTTTCCTAGTAAGCTAAGGACCGTATGGAGATTCTGAGGAAGACACAGAGGTAAAAAGGAAGATGGAGGATTAAGGATTAAGGTTCTTTGGACCAACTGGAGAAGTAGGAAATTTCTGGAGGTTACATGAAAAAGGTGTCACCAAAAACAGGGGGCCATTGCCTTGCACCATCTGGGAACTTCACCCCTCTGTGTAATTTCATGCAGCCCTTGGGTTAGTTTCCCTATGCCAGCAAGCAATTCAGAGTTTTGGCAAGGATTGCCTCCTGGCAGACATTTGGGCAGGAAAGATGGCAGAAGGGGAGAGAAGGAAAAAAATGAGGGGAGGGGAACATAAGAATGTCTCATCTCCTTTTGACTCTAATAGCCCCCCACAACAGAGGCCAATAAGAAAAAGTCTCCCCACTCCAGTCCTAAATCATGCCAGCATTTGGCTAAAAGCATCTTCAAGGAGTTTGAAATGTGCAATAATTTTGTACCATATTATAATTGTTGAGATGTATATACCACATTTTCCCAGGAGCTCAGCTCAGTGCAGGTAATGTTCCCTCCTTTAAATTTTCCACACAACAACCCTCTGAGATAGGTTGGATCGAGACTGGCTGAAAGTAACCCAGGAGTGGGCATTTTGGCTGAGGGTGGATTTGACCTATTATTATTACAAGGACCTTGATTATTACACCCTTCTGACTGGACCTGCTGCTTTATTTCCATTTCCATCTCTACCACATGGATTTTTGCAATACAAATATGGTGCCAGCATTGAAAGGTCCTTCCTGAAAGGATACATAAACCTGAGTCTGGGTGGAGTGTCATCTGCCAGATCCGAAAACCGCCATGAAGGTTCTTTTCTTAACTTTCTTAACTTTTTTTTAAAGTTGAGCTTTAATATGTGCTTCTCTAAGGCCCTGAGATAAAGTCTTTTTTTTTTTTCCCCCCTTGCTGCTTCAGTAATTGTGACCTTAAATAATTATCTCTGAAGTTCCCTCTGTATTAGTGATTTGTTAACTGAGATGTTTGAAGGTTCATCCTCACCAGGCAAGGGTGTCTGCAGAGTGTGGTCAAAAAAGTCAAGATGGTGGTCACACTGGTGGGATTGAAGTTCCAATCATTATATGCGTATATAAAATGGGTGGACTTCAATCACACTGTTGTGGCTGTCATCTTGACTTTTTTGACCACACCCGGCAGACACGCTTGTTACCATGTTTCCTAATTTCATTACTGTTACTTGATCTATAAAGAAATTATACTGTAAAGCTGCAGAGAGTCTTCCAAGCTTTTAATGGGGTTATTGCTTTAGATCAGTGCTTCTCAACCTTGGCAACTTTAAGATATGTGGACTTCAACTCCCAGAATTCCCCAGCCAGCCA